GCAAATTTTATGAGGTTCAGAACTTACTGTTTGTTGTATATAGAGGACTTGGTGATGAGAAGTTCGAAGTCCCTTGGAGTGCAACCACTGCCAAACGGAACGAGAAGTTTGTCTTGGTGACGAATTCTTCCGGGATGGTGAAATTCGTGTTTGTCGTCTGGAAGGTGATCAAAGTTGACAATATGTGAGTAACTTTAATTTACAATTTATGTCGTCTAGTAAATATGTCCAATCCGAGATTCGCAATAGGGTTCACTGATAAAAATATTGCATGTTTGTTATATGTCGTGAGTGACAAAATCTGAGTTCCGGCAGGATTCGAACCCGTGACCTCCCCGCCAGGGCTCTCAGACCAGTGATCTACAGAGAGACTCGCGATGAACTATGATCAACTTCGCAAAAATTCAAAACTAGCCATGGAGTCTAACTCGGCGAGGTGTTTTTAGAGTTTTCTGTATGGAACGTAACCTAGTTCAAGCTGCAATACTTCCAGTGGCCTCCACTAAAGGTCAATGGCCGCAAATAACTTCTCTTAGGATCGAAAATCACAGGAATTCTACGTTTCGTCATGGCGGAAAGATACAGGTAGTTTTTACCCTTTTTGCGTATTTCCATAAGTCCTTTCTAAAAATCATTTTCAATGCTCTCCAACCTGTGATGGTGATTACTCCAGAAGTTGATCTAATTTGTTAAAACCGGGTTCTTTTTCAGGCATTTTGAAATCAAAGGGGCAAGGATTTGTAAAGATTGTTTATGTACTATACCAAAAACAGAGAAGAAGCTCTAGTAAAAGATAAAAAAATAGATTACCGTGTGATATTTCTGTATGAGGGGCAAGATGACAAATGGGTCAGTGATGTTCTCATGGCGAGTAACTTCCAGAACATAAACAACTGGCGAAGCGTTGTATTTGATTTCATTGTAATTTCTCCAGTCCAGGTTGAAGGTAAAGTACCCGGATGAAAGCAACACAGGTTCATCTGGTGTCGGCGGTGATACAGTGGTGACGTTGGTAGTGATGTTGTTGGCTACAGAAGGTTCAAAGCAAAGTTTTAAAACTAACGTAAACACATGTATCTTGAGACTGACAAACGTGCTTTGGTCTTCATCTTCATCGTTGAGTTTACAATCTTCTCGGTAGACTTTGTACTCACTAACCTGAGTATATATTTAGCAACTGAAGACAAGTGTCATTACAAAGCTGAGGTTCGTCTGGAATCTGAAGAAGACAAAAGATAGGACAACAATAAGTCTAGCAATAAGAATATTAAAATTTTTGTTTCTCCTTGTTTGATTCGGATGTACTGCCGTCACTGCCCTGCGGTGCAAGAGAACGAAAATACTATCTTTTCTTTTGCCTGCTTTTTTGCTTGCACCAGTGCTTGGGTCGTCCTGGTTTCCAAGACTTTAGAACGCAGAGTTAAACTTAGGCTTTTCAAAAAGGAGTTACTGATCTTTCTTTGTGTGTGCGCGGCGTTGCATTTCGTCAAAGGTAATTTTGTTTAAAAAAGTAATTTATTTACTGATCTAATTTACATAACCATGTCAATCATGAACAACGATGTCCATTATGGTCAATTATGCCTAGGGACACGACTTCAACTGGTATCGATGGAAAGCATATTAGACGAGAACTTTGAAATCTTAGTAGACTTAAAGACCGTCTTGGACAAGTTTTATAGTTCCCAGGTGTTAAAAATGCTATTTTCCTGTAAAATATATCAAATATTTTCACTGAAATCCATGTCATGGTCACTGGACATGACGATATTAAACAAATTCCACGTTATTTTTTGATGGGTTCCAATTCTGAAAATCGTGATAACAACGAAAGATTTTTGGGTTCTCAATGCAAGACAAGTTTTTTCACTTCTAAGGAACAATTCAAGAAACTGGTAGTCATTGTGTTTTTGAGAATTTTTGAATCATATGCCTGTACACAGACCGAAGTTTACATGTACCCTTTACATAGTTGATGTAGTATATTTTAGGTGCGCAAACTATAGTCGCTAAACCGGGCTGACTAAATTTGCCGCGTACAATTTTTACAGAAATGGATAATCGCTTTTAATACTTTTGCATATTGTTCTACGCTGAAGTCTTCAAAACAAGCGTGATTTTGCTAATTTTTGTATGTGCGTTGCAGAAGTATCGGAACATCCTTTAGCAAGTTTGAAAATGTCTGCTGGGTTCCAGTCACGGTTTAATACTTTTGCATATTGTTCTACATTAAAGTCTTCAAAACAAACGTGATTTTGCTAATTTTCATTATATGTGCGTAGTAGCAATATCGGAATGTGCCTTAACAAGTTTGAAAATATCTGCTAGGTTTGAGTCACGGCAGCAAGACCAGGTTACTTAAGATTGGCTAATTCGCAAGACAAGAGTTTCAAAATGTTCAAATGTCGAGATTTAATTTCAATCAATTTGCCCGTTCTGGTACAGTTAGCATACACATATAAGACATTTCATTTACTTTCAAGACAGTGACCGCATACCTTAGAAACACAGCTCTCGAAACATTGCGTTGATCTTTCACAAGATCCGCATCCAAACGCGGTGATGAACAATAAAACCAAGCAAATCACCGCTGCCATGACTTCCCTGTGCGAGAAAAGAAAACAGAAACGATTAGGTAACAATGAATTGAAAATTTGAAAGCGTTTCAGGTTTACATTGTTTACCCAATGCGTGCCACGGTGAAGTATATGTTAGTGACCTATCCTTGACCATCCACGTTACGGCTAGAAAACTTTTAGTCGCGTGAGTCCAAACCACAAGAGCTAGCCACTTCTCTGAATATCGTTTTCAGACATGCTCTGTAGCGAAGTTTCACTTGACTAAAAAGTGGCGAATAATTCGCGCATCAATCAAAACAGATATTTATCCAAAGTCAATAACATCAATACTACAATTGCGTCTACTGAATTGTGGATTAAAAGATCTTTACCAGCGGTGAGTACGAGGAAGACCTAATGAAGGTCTCTCTCAGCTATAGCTTGTGACACGAAATGTTCACGGAACAATNATAAACGGATGTAAGGCAACATAATAATTCGTAGCTCGTGTCAAGTTTGATACAGACAGCTTTTCCTAGGGTGCTTGCCATTTAGCAAAAAAATCTGGAAATTTCGGTTGTAAGTCAAATGGAACAGTAATTTTCCAGAAAATCCGTTCGGAGATTGTAGACTACCTCCAGAGGTAGTCCTCTCTTCCCGTTCGGAACGGAACGACGGAAATTTCCTTAACTTTTACTAAATTTTCCAGTTTCCAGTTTCCAGTCTCTCATCAGCCGAAAGCAATTACGAGAAATCGAATTGCAAATGGTAAGCGCCATCTCGTTCGGTTGATTTGCTGATTTTGGAAAAACCCTTACCATTATTCAACGGTCATCCCAACAGGTTTACTCTGACAAATGGTAAGCCCCCCCACTTTCCGAGAACGTTTTTCGCTGTAGTTATATTTGTCAAGGGCTTTTCAAACAATCAAACAAAAATACTTGCAGATATGGTTTATGATCTCTGCTCGGTCTCAAACTTCAAGGCGGAAAAGAAGTCAGTTATTTGAGAGTTAAAGAAAACTTTCTAAAACAAATTGATCGAGTTTGCTTTTGTTTGCCATTATTGAGTTTTCTTCTTATCATTATTGTTTGAGTTTTAGTGGGCATAGCATGATACTTTTAAAAGTGCTTATTTGTAATTTATTCGATTTTATTCGTAACAATTATTTTTTCACCGCTGATGTATAATGTTTTAAATTTAAAACCAAGAGGATACAATCGTACAATCAACCGGAAGAAACATAAAAGTCAAAAGTGCCTTGACCACACTCGGGTGTTTAGACCACGAAAATCTTATCTGAACTTCTGACTTTGAAGTGCACGAAGATCTTTAATGGCAGTCTAAGGCGCCGCTTATGTGTTTAGCTCATCTGGGTTTCATGTCTAAATGTACCCTGTTTACGTGCTATGACGTAACCAGTGACGTAACTTGCTGTCAATTCAGTCCGTAGACAAGGGACCTGTTTTAGTGAAATCAATCAAAATACCATGCAATCTGTATTTACGTGGGACGAATTGCAAAAAAGGTTTACTGTCAATTGTCAAATGATGACAGTGTTTGTCAGATCTGTGATCTTGTTATTTGGTTGCGGTAACTTTCAGACAGTCTTTACTTCCGCAGTTTTGAGTGCTGGCAAGTGCAGGTCAAAATGCCAAACTCCAGACGATTGTCATCGTTGTGATTTGTTGTAATGTCATTCACCAGGCAACAGATCATTGTAAAATCTCTTTTTACTCGATGGCAACTTCAGCAAGTGTTTTCCTTGTGGCTAAATCATGTCAAAAGTTCACAATTGAAACATTTCATCTTTCAGTCAAGAGAAGACACGAAACCGCCTACTTAGAATATTAAACTTGATCTTTCAGAATATGAATTTCAATCAAGTTAAGCCTTGACCTACAAGCCGCAGTTGTTTACAGAGGCGACTAAGTTTCATATAACTTCAAAGTTTTCTTGCCCGCTGCTGTGAGTAATATTCAGTAGTAATTCATCAGCGGTGTAATTTATTTAGAAGCCGTTTAATACAGCTCTTTCTCTCATGGCGTCATAAATACTTTCCCATCGTTGAGAACCTATTTTGAAAAGTGAAGCTAGGTCTTTTGTCCAAGAGGCGAAAGGCCACGAACGAATCTCGGCTTTAATTTGCAATTATCCTGAGATCAGTTGAGATACTCAAACTACAAAGGAAAGCTTTCTCTACTCCTTCTAAATCTCATTTATAAAATTGGAAATGAGTTCAAATGGTGTGGCTTGCTCGAATCTGTGAACAGCTCTTACACTGGATGCTTTATGTCTTCTCTTGGCTTGAATTATCTGAGACAGGGTCACCAAATGAATTTTATTGTGGCAGTATACTGAATAATAACGAATTATCACAACTTACCGCTTCGAGTACAGTCGTCTTCAGAGCACTGCAGGCCAGCACTTCACTAGTACACCCGTCAGCACAGGTCCGCCAAAATCCAAGCAGATTCTAGTATTAACAAAAACCTTTCAATGTCGAGCTATAAGTTCGTACGTGCACTGTCAGTGAGAGAACAAGTTTAGATGTACACAGAAAAGCACCATGTAATTATATAAAAACACGTCTATTACGTCCGTTCCTTGCTATTACATCCGCTGCTGACATTTCAATGTTTGATGAAATTAATTACGGTTGGAGTTTTAAGGAGGGTCGTATGTTTCGGCCTTCTTTGACTTCGTTTCTTCAACTTTCTTGACGTGGAAGCGTCGCATACACTAATTAAGGAGGCGGGAGAGAAAAACAATTGAAAAAGAGGAAAAAGAGTCAAAGTTCAAACGCTAACTTTTGGTTACAAAACAGATTCAGTTTCTGCCCGTTGAAAACAATAATGACATCTCATTGTACTGATATATTGTTGTTTTCAGTCGTATATGTTGTTTGATTATTTCTGTGGAAGTTCTATTGTCTAATTCCAAAACATATTTTTTAATTATCTTTCTTAATAACGTCTCTTTCTCTGTTATTCGACGAAAAGCCACTGTTGCTATGGTGACCTGTCTGATGCTTTTCAGTGTCAGCGTACCGCTGGAGTCGATAGCTAATTATCAGCCAATGAAAACGCAGAGAACATACTCGTATATTTTGAAAGCACATTGCTTTTTTTTCGGCAGGAGGGTGGAGGGTGGTCGATAAACTAGTAAATCAACGTCAGTTGCTAAAAGCTCCACTCTTGCAGTTAATCGCCTTGCTCGGCGCACACCTCACCTGGTTGGCATATTTCTAACGTTACGTAACGTTATTCGTTACGTTACGTCACGTTTACAGGTAGACTCAAAACACGTGGATTACTGAGCAGGGAGTCGTTATAGAAATGTAACCATAGAAACCTCGTCTGTGAAAAGTTATTTTTACTGCATGAGGAGAAATATCTGACAGGAACTTACGTACGTTTGGGTTTTAACCCAGTTTCCGAATTCTCAAAACAATATAGTTTTCTCGTCTGATGTTCTGCAGAATCATTCAATTATTCCAGTATTTTTCCAACGCATGACGAATCTTTTTTAATTTTGCTGTTAAAATAGGCTTAAAAATGCAGCTATTAATTTTTCAAGGCGCAGGTTAAGATTCAGAACAGTTTTATCCCTACAGGGACATATATTCTGACAGTTGAACGTTTAATACGAGATTGAAACCGATATTGCACCAACGAGGCCGATTCGTCTCGTTATGAAATTAATTCGCCTATATGCATTGGGCACATAACACATATTTCAGCCGGCTCCAAGAGACACTACGAAGTAACTTTACTGATATAAAGTGTTCTGTTATTTGTTGAAGAGGAGCTAAGGATTTTACTTTACTTTACTTTAAGAAGAATAACGAATACTGAACTCTGAATAAAATCATAAAGGAAAGCGAAATTATATCGCGAACAGAATATTTCGTGTAACTTTCTAATCCACCATAATGAGTACTTGTTACAGAAATATTGCTAACTTGATGTATATTAATTGAACAGATTGAAAACTCGGGAATAATGTACCTCGAAGAGTGAATACAGTCATGGAAAAGTGCTTTGCTTTGCGACAAGCTCTTGAAATATGGCCCTCGCATTAATTTTAAATGTAACGTTGTAATCATTATCAAAATCTCTACTTACTTTTCAGAGGTTTCCTCAAGAGAGCTCTTGAATTGAAGATCAGCTCAGCAATTCGATTCTGAATCGTTTAAACTCACTGAAAAGTGGCTAACACTGTCTAGCTGCCGCGATGTTCACCCAGGGACTCCTGAAGCGAAGTCATCAAACTGACTCCGAATGAACGCAAGCGCTAAACATCTGTCACAAAGAAATTTAGTTTCAGTTGTAATGTACGTCAAGTTTCGTGCGACTAGTGGTCTTTGTTTATTCAAGCAAAGGAAACCCTGACATTTCATTCAAAAGAAATAAACATCTTATTTTCCTTTTTAAGTGCCAGGCATGATATGATTGTTTTGAATAGTATTTGATTAGTGCTTCAGTAGTCTAGCAAAGCAAAAATGTCGTTTTAACGGAAAGTGCCGAACTTAACCTTTGACTTATCACTCTATTACAAATAGAGTGTAATTCCCTGTCGTCACGAATATAGTACTCATAAAAACTTGTCACGGTAACGTGTATAACTGATACATTGCAGGGCTGTAACCAGAAAAAAAATTATGACTGAGGCAATGTCTATCAGTGAAACAATTATGACTGAGGCAATGTCTATGAAAAAATATGATTGAGCCAATGTCCATGAAAAAATTATGACTGAAGCGATGTCTAAGAGAAAATTATGACTGAGGCAATGTCCATGGTTAAATTCTCTTCGTAGGTATTTAGGATGGTTATGATGATTATAAACAACAAAAACGAAAAAACATTACCTAGGCAAGTGCCTCGGTTTGTCTGTTGCTAGCTACGGCCTTGTATTGTCTGGTTGTCGTAGTGGAATGAAGATGGCGTAACTGTACGAACCGCGGTAGTCGTTATTAAAAGTAACCCGTTGTAGTTGTTGTAATCATATAAGTTCCTTTATATCGGTTGCGCTTTTCCTGTTGTTCTGGCTTTAAGATGGCAGTTCCTGACCGGCCTATGTGTGGTGTATATAGTGCATTGAACTAAGTTTAGAATAAAGTCGTCCCTATGGTTTGCATATACTTCCTGTATTATGCAAAATCTGTAGCGAGTTCTTGTTGTCCCGGTGACCCGGTACTTCTTGTAATTCCAGAAGTCCATACAGTTTATCGACATTCTTTTTGCTACATTTCGCCTTATTCGTCCAAGGATTAACTCGAATACTGTATTTAACTGGGTGCAAAATGACCGAATCGTTTTAAACTTATTGTTTTAAACTTTGCCTCTCTTTTGAAATTCTAGCCAGTGGCTGCCCACTCAACATCCTTTATATAACACGATACTAAGGCAACTACCCCATGCAAGCATGTAAAGGAGACCTATAAAAACATATACAATCGCTTCCTACGTCATGGTGAAGGAAGACTCCTTAAGTTGACCGCAACAAGCACAAAATTATTTATCATGAAGTCAGTTATTCATCGTACGTGCTTTAGTTAGTTGTCTTGATGTAAATATTGTCAAGTGCCGATGACATCATGAATTGTGAAAGTCCATGACCTCGAGTTTTCTCCCATTCAAATCAGTGGGCATGTCCGAATGCCAAAATATACTGCCAATAAAAAACGCAACAAAAATAAGGCTCCAATAGCCTCTTGATCAAATGGAGAGGAGAAATCGATGTGAGTTGATTGCAAAACCAAACATTACTAACTTTTCCTCAAATTGTGACAGATCATGACCTGCGTTTTCTTTCATTCAACCGAGTACCAAAATATACTGCCGATAAAATCGCAAGAGATAAGGCTCCAATAGCCACTTGATCAAACGGAGAGGAGAAATTGATGTGAGTTGATTGTAAAGCCAAACATGTAAGTATAGTCTGTTTACTGAGTTGAGAATTCGTTAAATTATGAAGGCAAACTGAAAGATTAATTATAATTTAAAATGTTGGTTTCCCTGACTGACCGACACTCCACAATGAAAGCCTAGTCCACCGGCTGATATAAAGATTTTTTTTCCCTATTGTCTGATAGGATTTCCTTCTTACGTAGACATGGAATTGACGTATTTCCTTTCAGGTTTGTGGCCGTAGGCAGCTCCTCGAATTGATGGTGCGTGTAAACAAAACTATCCAATAAGATTCATTTGTGAGCCAGCACCGGACTGAAATCACACGGTATTTCAACTGATTCGCCTGATTTCAATGCACGGTTCTTATCATCAAATGTAACAAGGAATTATATACTCATTATAACTGTTACGGCAATCTCCCACACGATAGTTTGTGTAATTACATACAGATAATGACTGATAAAATCATCTCTTGGACGGTAAGAAACATAGCTAAACATGTTTTGACCGCTGTGAACCAATTTTTCAAGGAAAACAGAGTGACATACGTTTAATACAGTGTTCGGTATGTTCACATAAACCGTGTTTGCGCGCAAGATTCTCTACAAGCAATTGCGATAGGTGTTCAAACAGAGGCTATCATGATATCTGTTTTCGACTAGCTTATTTCTTTTATAATTTTACGCTGTCTTCCAGTCAGACAGTCAACAACTGGGGTGTGACAACATAAATAATTAATTCATTATTTTGACTCTGACGTATTTTCTTCATAGCAACCGTCCTATGTTTATGTTGATTTATTTTTAATTAGTTACCAAGTGTAGGGGTTTCTAAATGTGTTTTGACTTGGTCTTTACCAAGTTTAAAATGAAAAATAAACATGTTCAGGGCTGAAACCGACATTAGTCGTTCCGCACAGGGAAAGTTATTTTCTTTTCTTGACTGAGAGGAGAACAAGTGGGTAGAGCTCTGCCAGCAGCGAAACATGACATTCTCCCCTTTTTTTTTACGCAAGCCTGAATGATATTGCAAGCTAGTGGCCCGCTCACTAAGAAAAATATGCTGAAAAATACAACTCAGATCTTCACATAAAAGAGACCAGAAGGTTTAAAGGCGAATGTGATTCTCATTAGCAACAATACAAACTGAACTTTGAACTTTATTCTTTCAATCACTTTTTAATCAGCCGAGGTACTGATTAAGTTTACTGAAATTGTTTTATATAGTCCCCCTAGAGCTGCCTTTTGCCTCCATGGCAGTTCTTAGCTCTGACCAGTTTTCATTAACAAAGACTAGTATAACTTGTTAAATTTATCAGCGAGAGTCTTTTCCATTCCTCGACAAGGAATTTGAGTTGTCGTCTCTTTCACTAGCACATTGATCATAAATTTGTTCGTTATTTTTTTTCTAATTAAACTGTAATTGAAAAACTTTCCTTATCCATTATTCCAAGTCTAATAAGACAGGCAATGTTAAGGAAATCAAACAAGGAAGGTTTTTTTTCAGTTGATCAAATTTCATTCATTAAAATCGGTAGTGAAAACTTGCATCGTGAACGTGTGTGCCGCGAGATGATGAGAACTTCACTTGATTGGCGAAAAATTTTCTAGCAGTATAACTGAGATCCAAGCGCAGCTTGTGAACAGCTTTTTAAAAGCCAAGGAAATTGGAAAAGAGACTAACTGATGTGATAACATAATATCTTTTGTGCCGAAATTACTTCATACAGAGAGATAGAAATTTTAGCCTTCGAGGTACCTCGAAAATACAGTGTGCCAAAACCTTGCCATTATGTGAATTTTAATTTTGACACTTAAAATTGTTGCTTTCCTTGTGACAAACACACTGCTAGCACGGTATTATCACGTACAAAAAAAATAATTGAAACCAAATCTAGGAAAATTTGAATTGTCTTGATTAAAACAACAGTTTTCGATCGAATTATGCCTCGTTTTATGAGCAAGCAAACGATAGCAATTAAGTCTATTTTTGCATTCATTATGTAAAGTAATTAAAAGCAAATTAAATTTACGTAATACTTTGTGTTCAATGTTTTGTATATTTTTTGCTTCACAAAAGGCAAACTCCTTATTCCGTAGTTCATGTCCTCGTCATTATAGAAAACTATAAACAGATTGATATGTGCGACAGATGGCTTGCCAAGGGCCCGCATGAAACCGATTAGCAATATGTGTTCGCATGTTCATCACGGATAGAGGTAGATCTCTGTGATAAAGTCACCCTAACGACTTCTGTCATTGATCCATCGCTTGACTACCTTATAACAAAATTACAACAAATTCACACCTCTTTAATTTGTTGTTTTGCTTTGCTTACAAGGATACGGACAATGGTCGGAAAAAAAAACATTGACTGAATCCTTTTTTTTTGTTTTAGTAACGCGTCCGGCACCGAGGTATTTCTTGACCGATCTGAGGAAAAGCGGAAAAAAATCATACCCGCTATTTTTTTTTTGTTTGAGCCCAGTTTTTATCATCAATTGAGGGAAACTATGTCACCATGTTAAATTACTGCGCATATTATTCATATTAGAAGTGAATTCGGCTGCCTGAAAAACGCTAGTTCGCCATTTCAACTATTTTGCAGCTAGCTAGTTTCAGGAAATGTTTAAGGAGCTAAGTTAGGACTGCCATCGCTGATAAATTATATATAAATTCCAAAGAGGTATATTAACTTTAAGAGTAAAATAATTCTATGGAGAAAATTGCAATTAAATGGAGATTCCATCGGCCTTCTTCAATTTACCGATACGCGCTGTTTTTGCACAAGGAAACTCGTTATCGTAAAAATGGTTTTTTTTATGATCTTGTCATCGATTCTTTTTCCATTGTGATTAGTGTCTAAACTAAATCAATGTTCCGAAAAAGTCGAAAGTACCTTACCTCTACTCTGAACAGTAAAATTCCTTCCTTGAACGACAAAACTCATTAGGCATTAGGTGCACTAAATAGCTTTTTGAATAAATTAAAAGCTCTTTAAGTGATCAATAACATGTTCCCAGCTTGCATAATTATTTTGGTGTCCCGCGGCAAGTCCATTAAATTCACTCCTACACTGTAAAGTGCACTCAAACTCACTTTAACAATTTCTACCCGTTTTTTGCTGACCTACAAGAGTCAAATCAAACAGAATTAAAGTCTCGTTAACTGGAGATTTGGAAAATTATTTGGGTAAAACTGATAGACCATAATAGAAGCCACAATATAACTCGTAGATGCTAATTTTTTTTAGTGAATTAACCATTTATAGATCAATTTTAAATTCATGAGATTATGAGGCCTGTGTACTGCTATCATGTCATGAAAACATTACGGTCATTTACGGAAGATTGATAAAAGCTAATAAGAAAAAAATACACTGAAATGAGATAAGCCTCAGTGCAGAGTCACAGAAGAACAGAAGTCTCAATTTAACTGATGCACGCTAATTCTTTTTTCAGTCAGAATTAACCATTAATAATAGATCAATTTTAAATTCATGAGATTATGAAGGCTGTTTCTTGCTTCACGTCATAAAAGTATTATGTTCACTTCTGGAAGATTGATGAAAGCTATAGTCAAAAAGAAAAACATACAATGTGTCCCAAATGATATCGTATCATCTTGCATTTGTGGCCTTCGCCTTTCTCAACGCTAAATTAGATGTCTAACCGCACAATGTAGTATACATGTCAGTTTTGCAAATACACTCTGAATTGAGATAGAAAATTCATTGTTACGAGATTATCAAGTAGATACCTGTTAAGAAATACGTGACTATGAGCGTTTTACTGAACAACAAATTCAATATTAAGAATTGATATCAAGATATTAAGATATTGCATTGCAGTTTGTGGGGGAAACCGCGAAAACGGTTGCAGTCGAGAGGATGAAAAAAATGCGAGCTGTGGAACACGCTTCTTACGGTTCTCCTCGTCCGCCCCTAGCTTTCTTCCATTTTCTCGATCGTTGTCTTTCGCCTTTCGTAATCTAAGAGCCTCGGGAACAACCGTGACTGATATCAAGAAAAGTAAACAAGATCCGGGTTTATTTGTATCGAATTTGATAATTATAACATTAATGTCTTCAGGTTAGATTGCGTGAGAATTTCCTCCACAGTCCGTCACTGTTAGCATTCAAGTGAAAGAAACAAGTTATAGCCGGCACTTAGGTAGCCTTTAGAACATGAACTGTCCTGCTAAACCGCCCGTCCTAGACCTAGAATTGCAAGCTAGCACTTGTGCTTTCGACAGCTGTTGTGAGAAATGCTATGAAGAGCTATGAAGGGCAAGGGTTTGCGGAAATGGGTTTCTGTTGCCTACGTAACGACGAAACTTTCAGTAAATACATATTGTTAGTCCCTTTTATCTTCATTAGTCCCGTAAAATGATCATATGCACGATTCAAATATAGCCTAGTGAACTGTAAAAGTTAAATTTAGAAGGAGAATTTTTACAAAGATGAGTGTTTCTCGATCGTGAAAGTTGTGCGCTTTTGAAAGCTTGTCGGACACGGAATCGTCAGTGGATTGAAGATAATTCCAAATGCAGCCTGCCCAGTTCTCAGAATAACTCCTGACGTCAACTAATATATGCTAGGTGTGTGGACCCTACAGCTTAGCTTGGGCTCCTGCAAGATTTAATCTCGACTTTGTTTATGGGAGTAGGGGAGGGAGTAGGCTCAATTTCCAGCCGTGGGTGTTTCAGTGCGCCTGCGATCCTCTCCTGGAGACTGAACCTAGGGAGAGGGGAGTTCTTCAGAATGTTTCTTATTACTCATAACCTACAATCATTTTTTCAAGGTAGCATTTTAGACGTTAAGGCTAGCAATTTCTGAACCAAACTGGCGCAAAACTTTCAAGAAAGACTGGCAAGCCGATAAACCAAGCGAACTACAACAAATCTATTTGTTTGAGATGTCGTTTTCTTCCCCGCGAAATATTTCGATAAAAAAACACCTCGACTTTAAGGTATTTTACTGTGCATTGATTCTCTTTGCAATAAAAAACCTGGCCATGCCATCATTATCCCAGTTCACAACATTCTATCATGAACATCTACATTGCTGCACCGTAGATACCGAAGATAAAAATTTATCAAAACGCCTCNAAAAAACCTGGCCATGCCATCATTATCCCAGTTCACAACATTCTATCATGAACATCTACATTGCTGCACCGTAGATACCGAAGATAAAAATTTATCAAAACGCCTCATCGCAAATTTTACAGTCATCTTAACAGTTTTCTATTTCCTATTTTCTCAGAAACCTGAATGGCCTATCCAGTTACAGTTGGTGGTTAGGCCTTACCGACTTTGGGCGGAAAATATTTTTATTTCTTTAAATAAACACGAGTATTTTAATAGAAATATAACACTTACACGTCGTACGAACCTACATCCGGGTTCCGAGTGAAGTATTTTTCATATCCTCACTGGTAAAGATATCAATGACGTCATTTTCCGCTTTTCACAAATGCTTGTGCAAAGTCAGTTTATCTATATAATAAAAAAGAAAATTACACAGTAGCTTGAAGATATGAATTTTATTTTATCGTTTAAAAAGCAATATTTTACTCACTCGCTGCGCTCGTTTGTAAAGATGTTTCTTTTATCACTCGAAAGTAAAGTTCATATCTCCGTGTAAAATCTTCCATGTACATTCTTAGATTACAGAGTGTATGTATCTCAGTCAATTAAAACATATGTAACCAGGAATTGAACTATCATATGGACCTATCTGGTGTCTGTCATGTGACCTATTTGTGTGTTCTTCCCAGCCCAAAATTATCAACTTGTCAATAAATAACACGCTTGACTGGTCTTTGTAACATTGAAAACCTCACTGAACAACAGCGATACGATTGTTGGGTTTTTCTGGATGCGGATTGGCTAAACAGAGGGTTGCCTCGCTACACGTTGTCATAAACAGGAACACGCCATATAACTTGCTGTGCGTCACACCTGCAGGTGCACGTGACGGAGCAGTTTTCTCTTCCACAACAGGTTGAGAG